TGGGGGAGAGCGGTCATCGGGGAGGTCACCCGTGGTCCCCCACCCTTTCCTCCCCTTTGCCCCTCTCTGAAGTTCCTCATTTCTTTCCGGCCAGGAGAAGGTTTTGCCACCCACGGCACTGCCAAAGGAGTATCGGGGAGGTAGGGGTCAAGTGTGTTGCTCCCACTATGATGCGTGACCCTAGTTCTTCAGACGCTCATGGTTGAAACAGGCTGTCTGTAGACTCAGCGTGCACGCGCGCACACACACACACACACACACACACGCTATCACTAAAACCAGAACACTAAGGACCAAAGACGTGGCACCTGGACGTGGAGAAGCCCAACTGTTCAGGGCTGGAGGAGCAGAACAGACTAGCAGGAGAGACGTGGGAGCAGGGGCTAGGGCTTTGGGAGGCAGGCATGGGTGGGACCCTACACAGCACGTACCAGCACAGCGAGCACAGGAAACAGTTGGAGGCCCGGGTGCCATGTGAATGCCTGAGGTACAGACTGTGAGCACGAGAGGCATTCAAGGAGAGGAGAGACGTGCGAACTACAGCAGACAGATTTCCTGGAAACAGAGGGCCCCCGAGCCTGCCCTGGAGGATGGGCAAGGTTCCTCGGGCCCCTCCCCCAGCCAGGGCTCTCCTCACAAGTTCCCAGGGTGACAGTTCAGTCTTGAAACTGAAAGCAAAGCTGAACCCAGAACATAAGCCCACAACTGGTGCAGAGGCCATCCTCTGGCGGGTGGCCCTGTGGCTGGTGTGGCGCGGTGGTGATGAGTGCGCAGATCTCACATCTTAGGGTCCACCCGTCCCTGTCTTCAGGCTCTTTGGAGGCGTGGCCATGTCTGAGAGTCCCATCCCCAAAAGCAGGGTTAGGCAACTGCACAAGCCTCACAGCAAGACATTTCCTCTGTAGATTCTGTCCTGCTGAGCTAAGTGACTCCCACTCCCCAGGTAAACTGAGCCAGGCAGCATCTGGAAGCACACCCTTTATACTCATGTGTCCCACCCACCCCCCTCACACAAGGCTCTTTCCTGAGCCAAAGGAATTTCAGGGCTTTTTCATGCTATTGCCCCATCCATGAGGCCCTGATTTTCCCTGTGGCCACACCCTGGGGACTAATGTTCAGGGCGGAGAGAGACCAAAGTCCCTCTATCTGTCACCTCCAGAGGAGTGGGGGAGGGAAGGGAGAGAGGGAGGCTGTGTAGCTTCAGGGCCAGCTCAGGTGCAAATGCTGGTGACTTAGACTGGCACTGAGGCTTGGCCACTTCCCACTGGAGGTGACTCAGTTACCTTCCTTTCCCCTCCTTTACCTGCCTCCTTTCTTCCCCTTCTCCCTTCTCCCACTGCCATCCCCTTTCAGCCATCCCTCTTCTCGCAGTCAGTCTGCCCTGGAGTGGCAGTCTCTCTGGAGTGGCAGTCTCTCTGGAGTGGCAGTCTCTCTGGAGTGGCAGTCTCTCTGGCAGTCTCTCCAGGGAACAGAGCTCAAGGAAGGTGATTTCCTCAATGCCTGCACCTCTCCCTTCTCTCTAGGTCATTCCTGTGGTTGGCCCAGCCCAGCATGCAGCCTTGAATCTGGCTTAAGCCACCACATACTCCAGCTCTCTACACCCGCTGTTCTCCTGTGGCTCGGGGTGTAGGCTCTAAGCACCAAGGCACCTGAGGAGCATCTCTTCATTAAGAAAACCCCGCAGCTCCAGAGGGCCCTGCGAATCCTGCGGTCAGCTCTGAGAAGACAGTATGGCCATTACCCTCCAGCCCAGTGACCTGATCTTTGAGTTTGCAAGCAACGGGATGGATGATATACACCAGGTACAGCCCCCAGAGAACAGAGCCCAGTCAGCCAGCGCAGACGATCAGATAGACACAGACGGGCAGGCAGACAGCCAGTGAGCCAGCCGGCTGGCCTGCTAGCCAGTCAGCAAATATTGATCAAGCACCTACTCGGTTCAGGGCACTGAGCCTGCTTGCCAGCCAGACTGCGTCAGCTAGTAACTCATACAGCCAGTCAGTAATCACTGGGCGGTCATTTAGTGAGCCAGTTGCCCACGTGCAATTACAGGGCACGTGCAGTCACTAAGTCAGCCAAGCAGCTGCTAAGTATACCAGCTGAGCTGTTGGCTAGTCAGCAACATGGGCTGAATGCACAGTTGTGTGCTGACCTTCTTACGTGTTTTCAGCCACTTCCCGTCACCCCCAGTGTCACAGTGAGAAAGTTGCTGGGACAACCACATAGCAAGAGTGAGCACTGCCATCTGGAACTGCAGGGCAGAGTTCAACCCCTGGCATTTTCAGGCTCATGGCTCTAGCCTGGCTGATGAGCCCTCCCAAAACCTTTTTTTCAGCCTTGATCTTCAATTCAGGATAAACTGGAAATGGAGTCTTCTGGTGGGAGGAAGTTAGAAAATAGGACAGACTTCGGGCACTCGGTTCCTCACCACTCCATACCTTGCCCTGCACTGGGGCTAAGAGAGAATGTTTTCCATGCACTTAGCTGTGCCCATCGGATAGTGTCCTGGCACACTCAGCGCCACCCTCCACTCCCCTCTTTTCACAAACTGGAGAAGAGGCAGCCAGGTACAGTAGAAGGAATGGAAGATTAGGAGTCAGGAGTCCTGGGTTCTCATCCTAGTTTGGCCACAGTGTCACCTAGGCAAGTCCTGTCCCCTACCCTATCTGGCTGCCATCTCCCCATCTTCACCAAAAGGAGATCCAGCTCGATCATGTCTAAGGGCAGGCACCTCAGCCCAATTCTGATGCTCTCTGTCCTAAATCCTTGTGAAGATGGAGAACTTTGTGCAGTCCCTAGCGGACTACGAAAGGCTGCCCCCTAGTGGGTTTTGAGCACATTAAACTTTCTGTCCTGCCCTGCCTTGCCAAAAGTTGCTTGGTTTTATTGAACACCCCTGGAGTGCGTAGAGGAGAAAGCAAGAAAAATCTAACCTCACCTGGGTTCTCAGTGCTACTAGTCAGTTTTCAGTTGTTTCTAGTCTGCTCAGAAACTGTTTCTGTTCTTCACAGAGGCTGTTCATAGAAGCTCCCAACCCCGTACCTTCCAACCCCACACCTGCCCCTTCACCCCCAGCAGACAGCCTCTCCTCCAATCCACAGAGAAGCTCAAAGCCAGGGACACCCTCAGTTTCCCCTCTCTCCTCCCTTTTATTGATAACATCACTGTTCTTATTTCCTTTCCTCTGGCCTGAGAGAAAGTGTCCCTGTTTCTTCCAAGGGTACCTCCTGGCCCTGTACCTAAACTCTTCTCTCCTGCCTCCTTCAAGCCCTCAAGCCATCGATTACCTCCTCTCTTTCTGTTATATCTTTCAGACCTTCCATACCGTTCTTCTCAACTTAGAACACAGTCAGGTCTCCCCAACCCTAAAAGAAATCCTTCCCTCTCTTTCTTTCCAAATACCACCTTGTTAGCACCTTTCTTCCCCCCAGCACAGGCTCCACCCTGTGTTTACTTTCTCACCTCCTCTCTCTCTGTTTAGGAAACAATTTTTATTGCAAAAATTTTTTGTATCATGAATACAAAAAGATGCATAAATCACGTGTGTGTGTGTATATGTTTAAAGAATAACTATAAAATAAACACCCATGAATTCACCTCCAGGTTAAGAAACAAAATGTTACCAGTCTCCTAGAAGGCCCTGATACCTAAAACAATGAGAACCTACTCTATGCTGGGCCCTGTTCTAAGTGCTTTATACATATTGATTCGTTTAAATAACCCTATGGAGTCAATAATATGACCCCCCCCCCAACTTTATAAATGAGGAAACCAATGCACAGAAAGGTGACTTGCCCAAAGTCACACTGCCAGTAAGTAGTAGAGCTTGGTTTCAAACCCAGGCAGTCTGGCACTAAACCAGCACAATGCAGTAGAATATTCCGATGCTAGAAGTGTTCTATATTTGCGTTACCCAGTACGGGCCACTAGTCACACGTGGCTGTGGAACACTTGAACTACGGCTAGCACAACAGAAAAACTGATTTTTAATCTTGGAAAAATTTGCATTTATATTTAAATAGTCACCCGTGGCTAGTGGCTACCACATTGGACAGATGGCTCTTAACTTTATGGCCTTAATCACTACACCTGCCTGCCTCAGTCTGTCCTCTCTGTGACCCACTGTAACGTGCCTCGGGACTCCAGCACTCCCCTGAAACTGGTTTAGCCAGGGTGACTGCCCAGTATACCCAAAAGCATGTTCTTAATTTTTGTTCTTCTGCATCCTTCAGGAACGTTAGGCAGAACTGAGCATTCACATTCTTTTCCCATTCACATTCTTTTTCAAACAGTGCCATGAAAGAAAATTTGAAACATACAGAAAAGTAGAAAGAAAGGGGGAAAATCACCCAAAGTCCCACAACTTAAATATAATCATTATGAACATTCTGGTATATTTCCTTCTACACACAGTTGTTTTTTTCAATCCTCGTCTGAGGATATTTTTTCCATTGCTTTTCAGAGAGAGTGGAAGGGAGAGAGACATCGATGTGAGAGACACATCGACTGGCTGCCGATTGGCTGCCTCCTGCACCCGCCCGACTGGGGATCGAGCCTGCAACTGAAGCACGTGCCCTTGGCCTGAATAGCACCCGGGACCCTTCAGTCCTTGGGCCGGCGCTCTAACCACTGAGCCAAGCTAGCCAGGGCTATACCTAGTTTTTAAATATCAGTTGTGATCACTCTCCTTTTTTATTTAGCTTTGTTTGGTTGTAGAACAACTGTGTCCTCCAGTGGTCAAATTCTCATCCTGATCATTTTTTCCACTCCAAGGGATTTAGCGAGCACCCTATTGAACTCTTGGACACATATTTTTGACTCCCTGAGAGGTATCTCCATTTTAAATATCTCTAGGGTACCTCAAACTCACCATGTCTAGACACTGTCCCCCTTACCTTTCTCCCAAAACCTATCCCTCCTCCTCCTTAACCTAAGTGTTTGTGTGCACCCATTAAATCAAACTGGAAATTGGCATACTCTCCCCCATCCAGGCAGTGACTGAGCCTTTACCTTTCTACCTCTGTAATGCCTCTGTTCTCCCATCTTCATTGCCACAGACTGAACCCTAAGATGTCAACAACCTGAGCCCCTCACCCTGGGTACCCAACCCTGAGTGTAGGCTGAGTCCATCACCTGACCATGAATCAAGCCCCTCTCCCTTGCCATTGATTAACCCTTTCCCACTGGCCTCAGAATGAGCCTAACCCTTTCCATAGAATTGAGCACTGACCCTGGCCATGGATTAACCCATAACCACAACCAATTCAAATTGTCTGCCCTTGGTTGAATGTAGGTGGTACAGAACTAGCCCATCTTTATTAATTAAAAATTCACTCAAAGGATCATCTAGTGGAGTTCGACCGAGAGCAATGTCATCTTATACAAAGGACAGCTCCTGAGGGTTCTAAGAATTAGGAATTGCAGGAAGAGCAGATTCTGGTAGGGGTGCTTCCTGGAACAGGTGGGTGGGTCTTCAACCAGATTCCTCTCTTCTCCACAGCTGGAAGACCCCTCAGTATTCCCAGCTGTGATCGTGGAGCAGGTACCCTACCCCGAATTACTGCATCTGTATTCAGGACTGGAGCTGGAAGACGGTCACAGTGGCATCATAACGGACAGGACCTTGTGCATGACACAGGATCAGATCCTGGAGGGCAGTTTTATGCTGACAGGTCTGTCCCCTTCTTGGGTAGGGAAGGTGTGGAGGAGAAAGGACACACACACAATGGCTTACAGTGACACATGCAGCAAAGGCAAGGCCGCCAACAGTTGGAAATTAGATGGGGCAGTTAGGACAGACAAAAGGTAGTACTGCTTCACAGAGGAGGAAGCCATCTAAATGGATTCGTGATCTTTTGCTGTGGAGGGGGACAGTGAAGAGTGGAGCTGGCTGGGGTGGGTATAGAGAGAAGGCGGAGGATTAGGGCAAGGGGAGCACTGGTCCCTTCCTGGCTGTCCTTTGGCTCTTTCACACTATTCTCTGGGCTGGCCCTGGTTATGGCTGTACCCCTACCTCAGACCCTAAGAATAATTTTCTTCTTGCCCCCACCATGGAACCTGGAACCAGATGAAAATGAAGCAACCTCACAAACCGTGTCAACCACTGAAGTCTTGCTCAATGTTGAGTCTCCCAACAACATCCTGGATGAAAAGCAGATCTGTAAGTGTGAACCTCAGGGCCTTAATGCAAGGTGACGCAAATGCCATTTAAGAGATCACGTCCATGTGCTGAAGTCTCACATATGTGTGCGTGTAGCACATGTACCCACACCCACCGACATACATGTAAACTTACTCTTG